TGAGCTGGCAGATTACATGTAAGATAGATTTTGCTTAGAGATGTACAAATTTGTAGACATTTCTATTTTATATTCAAATTACACTCAATAATTAAAAAAAAATGCTACCAATTATGCTTCAAAGCTAGGCCAAAGTTTAGTTACAATGGTTGTTTAACCCTTCAAACCCTGAGAGTGACCAGCATCAAAATTTCTTCCTTCAGTAATATGGCCAAGTCATTCGTTAAGATCATGAGAATTAAGGAAATGATCACCACCCAAAGAAACTTTGATTAAACAAATTCTCCACGTCAGTACCAAAGGAAACATATAGAGAAGAGTATAGAGAATATGGATGCTGATGTTAGGGTGTAAAGTGTTAATGCATGATTATAATTGGTAGATTATAGATTGTTCCAAGTGCATTGTAGAGGTTCGAAGCTATATTTTTTTTTTACTTAAAAAATTTGAGGTCTATACAAAAATATCTTGTCTAACATGAACTTATGGACATAATAAGATTAAATAGTTAGATTTTTAGGTAGAAGAAGACTTAAAATTAATGTATTTTCGTGAAATTATCTAGAATTTCTAAATATTCTTGTTCCTTTGAAGTTTGTTCCAGTTTTTTTATTTATCACAGACAGTCCTATTACAGAATACATTGAGCATTTGGATGGGATCTCAGATGATTATAGTGTTAATAAAACTTAACAGCATTTTTGCAATTGGACGGAGAGGTTTCTCATGCTGGGAATTAATTTTTGAAATTTTCAAGAAGTTACATGCAGTTAGTGTTAGGGTTCATCTACAGTGAAGTAAATTTTTTTCAGGAAAAATTTTTGCAGGGGGTTTTGTTTTGTTTTTTTTTAAGAACTTTTTTTGTGTATCATGGAAGAAACTGCAAAATTAAGAACCCACAAAAATTTTGTGCCACATGGGTAAGCTGTTTTAGCATGTAATATAATGCTGTTGCAAAAAAACTTTTGCAAGGATAAATTTTTGGAATCTAGCCACACAATATATTCTGAAATTTTGAAAATATCTTTAACTTGGTGTCAATCTTTGTATTGATCTGTTTCTCTGAAGGAATAGCTAACTTCTTCAGTCTTTCTTATTAAAGTTTAGATGTACCATTCATCCAAGGGAGTGTTCCTTCTCTTGATCTATTTACTGAGTAATAACATGATAACAATGAGCTTACAATCACTGGAAATGCTGCTGTTTTTTTCCTGTAAGTATGTATATTGAGATGTTTGTATTGCACCAAATTTGCATTAATTTCATGTCTGTAAACCTACCTTTTAGAACATTTGCATCAATTTTGTTCTGAGATCGACACATCAAGTTGCCTGGTGTGGCACTGTTGGAGGAGATAAAGAGTAATCTTTAGAGCTAGGGTGATTTGAAGGATTGGTAAATCTCTAAGATCATATGTCTTCACATTCCTTTCAACCTTGTCACTGGTGTTAGAATAATAAAGGACCTCAGTCTTAGGACTTTCAACTTTAATTCACTTTCACTAACAAAGTATAAGGAGGGACCTCACCTTGGGTTCATTTTTTTCAACTAGCTCTATAATAATGGATTTAAATCAAGGTGCATCGTCAAGGTATTTCAAATCGTGTTTTTTCTGGGCTCAAAGTGTCTTCAATTTGTATCAAACTACAGGATTTCCCTTGAGTAAATTTAGATAGACACCAAGCATATTTAAAAAAATTTGACAAATGAATATAAGCTTAATAGGGACAAAAATCACAAAGGATGGAGAAACCAAGAGAAGGTTTCCAATGGTGGGATAAATTTTTGAAGAAATGGTAACTGTGACTTAATTAGCACCCCTTTTAAAAGATAGTGTGGATATCTTAGGAAATATAGTGTTGTTTTCTTTCCAATTAATTTTAAGAATACTACCCACAACAGTACTAAAATATTTCATTGCCACCAATGTCATGGTTTTTAATGATTTTGGAAGAGAGATTGATGGGGATTATGATTTTATTTGAGATTACTGTGGCTGTCTGTTGCCACCAAACATTTGCTTTTGATGAATAAGCTACTTTTGGGAGGATCTGACTTTTCATCTCCTTTAATGTGGTTAAGAGACAATCAGTCCAACCAAGATACACTTTTATGGTCCGTTATGAAGATAAAGAAAACTTTATTGAACACAGCAGATAGCTACCACAGTACAGGGAAGCATTATCCTTTCAATATTGAGTATTTTTTAATTTACTTTTTGTTTACACAATTATTTTTTGTTATCCAGGTTCACCAGAGTGCTGATCAGAAAGAATGGTAGTGCTGACTTACAAGTTACAGTGGTGTTAACTTTCAACATACAAAACAAACTTGGTAAGTTTGATAGTTAAATTGAGCCACAAGATTTCCTGAGTTTCTCAAATCTCAGGGAACTTAGAATTCATGGAACCAGAGCAACAAAACAAGAATATAGCTTCAAAACAAATTAAGGGCACTATACATCAGAATTATTTTTTGGGAAAATTTTCTAGTTTGGTTTTTTTTTTATGTGAAGAAAACAAACAAAATGTGAGAGCTAGCTTTTAATTTTCATGGAGTTTTTTTATCCTGTTCAGAATTTTCCAAATATTTTAAGTAAATACATGGAAAAATTACTCATGGATCATTTGGTTTTTGTGTGTATAAGGCCAAATAGAATGTAGTTAGGTCTATTTTCTCAATTTTGTGTCCTTTTCAAAGAGATCTATTAAATGTAAAACTTCAAATATGTTGCACCGTTGTGTGCATCTACATAAATGTTCAGTGCCATGTACCGGTAAGTCTTGTTATAAAAGTTGGACATACTGGTATTATTCCTCTTTCAGGTAACAAGGTTGTAAGTTGAGAAAGAATGTTACAGAAGACAAGTCTGGTAAGTGTAGTTACATGTAAAGTCAAATGAAAACTTGTGTAACAAACTCTTAACCCTTAAACTCCCAAGATCTGGTTGTTGACCCTCCCTTCTAGCTGTCACACATTCCACTGAAACTTAAATTAGAGAATTTGGTGAGAGATCAAGATACTCTTGTTACCTGTTTCTACTGGATAATGTAAGGATATTTAAGGAGAACCATTCCCACTCCTGACCCTTCCAACATCATGCAGTCCTTAAAGGAGACGTATACTCCAGAGATCATTTAATTTTAATTCTCCCATCTAAAAGTATTAAATATTTAAATGGGACATAGTGAATTTTCACCTTTGAAAGACCTTCATAGAGTGGCAAAAATTCACCTACCATGCAGTCATTTTGAATCTTGTTCATGTAGGTACCTCTTTCCAGTGACATAAGAGTCTTGTATCACTTGTTTCTATTGCATAACTGACTGTTTCAACAACAACAAGATAGACAAAAGGTACTGTTATCTGGAATAAAGAGCTTCCTCAGTAACCAGAGGAGTAGCTGCTTGTGAACTGTGATTTAGTTCAGATCATTTGGGTGGAACTTGTATTTTCATACTTATGCTTCAGGGTTACTGAGTCAGAGGTACGTGTACATTCAAAATGGCAGCATCCAAACTTGAATATTCAGCACATCTGAAGAAAGTTTTCTGTTGTTGTTAATTGTTTGTTTTTTTGGTTTTTTTTTAACTATGATTTTTGCATTTTCTCTTTATCAACAGGGTGGCACAAACTAGAGAAAATGAGGAAAAGGTTGATTATCTACATTAAGTGGATAAACCACTGGCTCGGTACTGTGAAGATGTTGACCTAGATAAAATGTCGAAAGATCAGGAAAGGGATGATGATCCAATGACACACAGAAGTAATTTTGAATTTTTTTTTTACCACACTGATTGATGTCTAACCCTTTGACCCCTGAGAGTGAATTGTATCTGCCCACCTACCCCTCCCCTAACTCAACAACAGTCAATTGATAACAAGTTGGGGTTAATATTGGGTTAGGGGAGGGGTAGGTGTGCAGTTGCCCAGATACTAATATTGATCCTTGTATCTTGTAATTTTCTTTACAATATCATCCCTGAATTACATAGTTAGGGCACAAAAATAAAGGAAATGATCACCAAGTAAAGAAGCTCTTGATTGATAAACAAATTCTCCTTGTCAGCACCTTAGGAAATGTATAGAGAACAGTGTGGAGAATATGCATACTGATGTTGAGGTGTATTTGGATAATAGTAGGGAGATCATTGTCAGTATCTTTAATGTGATCAATTTAAGTTCTAAGTGTTGTCTCCTTTTGGAACTTCATTTACAGTTGCTGCACAAATTTCACTTACAATTTTTCATCATGGTAATAACAATTATGTGGTTTTATGGAACACACTTCCCCCTTAAGGTACCAGTAGCTTCACATGTAAGTTACCTTTAGTTCTCTATGGTTTCAGTGACATATTGATTGTTATGGTTCGCTTTTGTTATAACACATACAAATGAAACCAAACCAACCAAACTGTCTTCCACTGAAATTGTTTGGTGAGGAATAGCAGGAAACATTTTTGTAACTCTGTAAAATAACACAAATGTAAAATGTGTTTTCTTTGAGGAGTAAGAGGACTATAAAGTAACATATGTGGAAATTAAGAAATATCAGATTGTTAAAAATTGCAACACCAGGAAAGTAAAATGTAAAATTTGCCAGATTAACAAAATTTCAAAAGGTCTACACTTGAGCCAGCAAATACTACTAAAAAGCACTCTGACATTTAACTTACAGTCCATGAGACTGAAAAAAAAATTACTTTTAGCTCAGCCATAGTTATAGAAAAACAGTACAGAAAAATCATAGCCTTTGGCTGGTCATACGTACATTCTCTAAAAGAATGGCAGCAAATACTACTTAAAGCACTTTTGGATCTAACTCACAGTAAATGATACTGAAAAACATTACTTTTTAGCTAAGCCATGGTTGATAGAAAAATCAGTGCAGAAAACTCACAGTCTCTAGCTGGTCATAAGCACATTCTTCTATCAAGTCAAGGCAAAAAATAAAACTAAAAAGCACTTTGGCTTTTAAGTTACAGTTAGTAAGACTGAAAATCATGGAGGCAAACACTACTCAAGGCACTTTGGCACTATAACTTACAATTCAAATTCTAATAAAGCATTTTGAACAACTAACTAATAACACTTAGTAAATATTTCTTGCAATGAAGCTATCTATAATGCTCTTCGTATAGACCTGAAGAAAAAAAAAAGGAAACAATATCAGTTGAGCTTGGATAAAACCCAACCCTGTTTAAAAATGTGATGTTACAAAAATGTAGCCCACTACGAACAAGATTACCTCCTTGAGTACCCACCCACTAGGCAAGCACCCCTCTCGAACAAGCAACTCCCCCCACTACTTCCTCACTTTCTTAAATAGTAGGGATACAAGAAAACCTGTTTCTATCACCAAATTATCTACAATGGAATCAGTACAGGAGGGTAGTTTTTTTACTCTACCACTTATTTCTATCTCTATGTGCTTGCAGAGTTCCTTTATGCGCATTAACTATTCTTTTAATGTTTTTTCTATTACTGTGCTAAATTAATAGGCACCCTCCTCAATTAAGCGCCCACTTGCCAATAAGTGTCCCTCTTTTTAGCTGAAATTTTAAACAAGCACCCGGGTGCTTAATCAAGGAATTTGTATTTTATTTCAGAAAGACATATTTCTATTATTTTGAAAACCCATGGACCTGCTTCTCACACATTTATTTGGGTATGAAGATTGCTTTCATATTCAAAATTTTATTGTCACAAATGCAGTTTTTCTCTGTGTTCTTGTGGTTTAACTCCCCAATCTCACATGTTTGGGCTTCGTTCTTACCCTAGGAATACCTTCATGAGTTTAAACAAATTATTTACTCAAAGCCATTATTTCTGGAGGATCCATGTGTAATTAAAAACATGCACACACTTTCAAATATCTCTAGTTAAGAATGCAGTACTTGTAATACAGTTACAAGCAACAACCATAAACAAAATCTTCTCTGAATCAATTTTCCAATGAGACTTGGAGCTAAATCAGACACCACAACTAAGAGAGGTTGTATGACATTTTGAAATCACAAATTGCATGTAAGTGCTGGTGAATACAATGCACAAAGTGGGCAAGAGATATGACAAGGGGCAATCTACCATGGGAAATGCCCTTACTGTGGGTCTTAAGTGAATCACATCTATTGACAATGGTAACCTAGAACCTGTCTTATTGCAAATAGTGAATAAAGTAAGGTGTTGATTAGGTCAGTTTCTCACCTTGTTCTTAGGATTAAGGATCTGGTTCAGGTGGAATTATCTGTCCCATGGTATTGAGGGCTTCAGAAATTAGCTGCAATCCACTCCTAAATAGGTTTAAGGCTTCCTGTAGCTGGGCAAGCCTTGCCTCATTGTTGTCTGGGATAATTACCCCTCTAACAGTTGCTGGCTGTTCAAAAGTGAAAAAAATTAAAATAATTAAAAATTATGAGAAAACTGTGTCTCAGTGCAATGAAAACCAAATGGATTGTTCTAGGTACTAAACTTTGCACAATTTTTATGTTATTTTCTTGCACTGTAATGCATCTTTCCACTCAAAATTTTATAAGTAATGCTGGAAATTTGTAGAACTTAGACAAGAAGATAGATGGATTGATTTCTTCATTTTGGGAAAATGACTCCTCATAACTCAAAAAGAAAACTTTTATCATTGGAGGCCCAAAATAACACAAAGAATCATTAAAAATTAATGGATGGGTAAAATCACCTAAGAAAACTTGCAGGGTAATATCAATCTTAAGTACAAATAAGATAGGATTAAAAATTAGAATGGTCACAAATTACTATTTTAAATCAAACAGCAACGAACAAGTTAAGCAACATATCCGCTTCCCTAGTGCACAACATTCTAAACACCACAACAGAGAGAGGCTTGTTTTGGAACCAGACAGTTTATTAAATGTATATATCCTACGCAAATAACGCACTAGACTATTACATAACAAAGATATTGGACGTAAACCAACGGTCCTGTATTTAGGAATAAATTACAAACACGAATGAGATTAACATACAATCAAAACTGTCGATGGTGTAGGTGGGAGCAAAACTAAAACTTTCTTAATGCTAGAAATAAACGTCTTGCTTGCTTGCTTGCTTGAAAGATTACTTATAACACATGCACATATACCTAAGCAGTAATACTAAAGTAATTTTGCAATTAAAACGCATTAGCGTGGTGAATAGCCATTGGCTCTACCCAAGTCTTATGACTTATATGCTGAACAAATTGCTCAATCTTACAGAAAAGGGAAAATATTAACTTGCACCCTGCCTGACTACCCAGTCCGGCCTCTCAGTTATCGATGTCTAGATTCATAGTAATAGAGATTAAAATTCACAATAATAAATGTAATTTGAATGCAACCACTATGGTTTCTGATAAAGAAAAACTTTCTACTACTAACATCCATCATATTTCTACAACATCAATGCGTTCACAGATTGTACCTTGTCATCAGTATTCTCTTGCGGAGTTTTCCCTGGACGATCCATCTAAGCTTATGTCAATCTAAAACAAAAGAAAAAGATTAAATACAATGGTTTTGGAAAACCAAAAACTCCATAGCCTATATTCCTTTTATGACTAGTTATAGTTCTCACTAGAGCTGCCCCCGCCCTACAGTGCCATTTTTTTTTTTTTGAGTTGGGCTTGTTGTTTACAGTTGTGTAATTTTTCTGTTATGCTATTACGGAATTGCGGCTCAGTACTTTGGTGTTAGTAATTTTGCATCTCAAAATACTACAAGTGTACAAAATGTAGTTTTGCGAAGTGCTTGGGGTTTTTTTTTTTTTTGCTGTGTGGTTTAACTTAGGATTTGTTTGTTCTTCACGATCAAGAAGAAGCAGAATGTAGAGACTTGGGTGAGTTTTAACACTGGAATGTTAAAGGTGGCATTGGAGAACAATTTATAGACAGCATTGAAGAACAATTTTTAGACACAAAATTATACCTTAAGAGGGCCTACATTCTCTCTTCTCCACTCTATACTAGGACAAATCTCGTGTCAAAGACGCCGATCCTAAAAGTCCTCGCGCGCGTGTCTTTTTACTGGCAGCCCATGACCATTTGCGGGAAAAACGTTGATACCTTGTGGCCGTGCAAGCGATCAAATCAAGATTTTTTCTGGTTATGATCTACCGAAAATACCCACGTTCTCTCTTCTCCAGTCTTCCTCTATATTACACGGGGAGTCCTAAGGTGCCTCCTCGGGTTTTTGGCCCTCTGGGGCCAAAAACCCTGCGGGGGCAATGAAAAATTCTACACCTTAAAGTTCTAATTCATGGTTGTTTCAAATACATTATTCGGTCTCATCGTTTACACGCTTTAAGTCTTTCAGGGTGATTACCCTGGTAGCACAGCACTCATCTTGTACTGCGCACAACATTAGCCAGAGTCGCAAATTCCTGGACATGCAGTTTTTTTGCCTTTATTTGTCTCAGTCAATTGACGCACTTAACAGGTAGGATGCCCTTTGGCTTTTCAATGATCAGTACTTTTCATTTTAAACTTTATTACACAAATTGTTCTCCATGAAGAGAAAAATCTAAAAGCAAACAGATTTGCATGAGAAAAAAAAAAAGAAAAAAAACTATCGCAAAGCTTGCACACAAAAGTGTATTACATCCACCTTGCTACAAACTTAAAAATAGCTATCAGGTGTTTTTTTTTTCCAACTTTTTCTTTGATAAACCTTGCTTCCGGCGACCACAAAATTCACCGTGAACCACCACCACCACAACCACCCCCCAACGTACGTACCTCTTAGCTTTAGCGATTAGGGTAAACTATTTTTTTAATTGTTGTTCTTAAGCAGCGATTGAAGGAGAACTTTCAAGTAAAGATTTTAAAAAAATCGTTCGACAACTTTCCGTTTTCCCTCAAGAGTGCGCCAGGTCCTTCAAAATCGACCGTTCACTACGTCCTTCGTCTTTAACCTCCTCTGTGAAACCTTGAAACCTTACAAAAAATTGCACGTGCACTCCAACAACGAATAATCACAAACCAAACCAAAGTAACCAAAGTAAAACGCGCTGAGGGAGGAACTTTTGAAATAAATTGTTTAAGTTTACCTGTATTTCGGATCGTAGAGTCGGCGTAGACAGATAATCAAGGAAAGCAGTTCAGCCGTCACCCCTAAGAGTGTAAGAACACGGTTTTGCTGTCCAGTATCTCTCCGTCACTTGTTATGAGGCTAGGCTACAAAGCTCCGGAGAACGCGTCTAATATGCTAAATAGGGCCTTCATCACGAAGACAACATCGGGCGAGCTCGGATTTCGTAATCGGAAATCTACCCGAGATGACCTCCTTCTGACGGATGTCGGAGTACGCGTAGGCATTGTAGTCTCTGATAGTTATGACGTCATTTCGTTGCACAGGCCATTTTCTTCGTTCTTGTGATGTTCTTCTTTTGTTTTAGTAGTTCTTCGTTGTAGTTTTTTTTTAATCTGAAGATATCTGCCATCCTCATGCTTAACTTTTCATTAATTGTGCTGATTTATCGACCAATGCTCGTCCCAAATTCTGTTCAATCTAACATTGCTAGCGGTATATAGTAGCCATGATCCTCGAGCAGCGCGACTATCTCTCTCAAATCCTTTGATAAAGCAAAATGGAAGGAATCATTGGCACCTAGTATACTAAAGAAAGATAACTCTGATCGCATCAATCATTTCACTAAGAATCATTATTAGAATATTTTCATTCCCCGCTCGAGGTTAGGCCTCTGTAAGCAAAACGTTTCGGGAGAAAATTGAAACTAAACAAATTTGCCTTGATTATCTCAAAAGATAGCGAAAAACGAAGTCTCTAGTTCCCAGCATCATCTATACTCAAGAGATGTTTCAGTGTAAGTGGTAAAATATTCTAATCTAGATCCGTGGTTGTTCCTCTAGAATTAAGAGTGCCTGTCATGCTACACAGATATGTTAAACAATACTTACTCAAGATAAGTAAGTCTAGAAAATTGAGTCTATGAAAACAGCGATACTTACTATTTTCAAACTATCAAAGCTGCGTTCTTGAAAACGTTGTCTCGATCTCAAAGCTAGACATGTCGTGACCCGCGTGTTTTTACCGTGGTGCGACAACTAATTTTCTCAATTTACTTCAGTTGTGGATACTCATTAGGAAGGGAAGCCTCTAGTACTTATTAGGAAGGGAAGCCTCTAGGGATACTAATACTTACTTGAAATGATGAAAAGATAAAATGAATAGCACATTCCTTGAGACATCCTGGGTGTGATGATGCTATATGTATACCCTCTGATGAAACTCCCAGTGAGGGAGTTACTACATCACGGGCGACGAGCGGGGATAGAAAAAACGATCCAAATATGAGCGGTCAGCGGTGAAACAGCTTTTATACTTCATATAGAGACATA